GGTTAAATATACTTTCATTCAATTCAAGTTTGAGACGCGGTCTTACGTCCTATACAGTACAGGAGCTTAAATACCATGGAGCCGCGCCCTGCTTAAATATTCCCCCAAGACGCCTAGAAGCAAGTGAGCGGTGCAATAGTCCTGTTGGTGCAAAGTGAGAAATAGGTTTTCCTTTCTTTACATTGTGCACTTTCACCGTTTCAATCCGGTATCATTATTTTTAATGTGATATATTCATTCACAGTATCGGAAGGTCACCAAGAACATCAGAGTTATATTTTTTCTGGTAATACTGTTCCTATTTTTAACGATTGTCGTAATCTAACACGTAGAAGAAGGTACTGTGAATCAGTCAAAACTTTTTAATATTGAAATTAATAAAAATTTCATTTTCGACTTATGAACTTCCACTTTATGGGCAATTTTCATGGAACGAATTATGCTTATAAATCAAGGGTTAGGTGAACAAAAAAAGTATTGGTGGGAGACGTTTGAAACAACATATTCCTGCCGCTAAGCGGTAGAATATGACGTCGTTTTAGAGTAACGCTGCAGAATATACACACAACTCTGCTGATTTATATTTGTGGAGAACACTGAGTACCGCACCAATTTTTACATTCCCGGGTACGAGCGCAGCAAACTCAAGTTTTCCAGTAGCTCCAGTGATTTGTCAATCGTGCAAGCTCCATGGGTTGGATATAGAGGTATTCATATTACCCAAGCCATACGACCTTCATTCTGTAAGTCTGACATTACCAGTCTTTCAACTGGCATTCAGATCACGTATCAAGACAATCGCCCCTGACAGCCGCCGAGGATCGAAATGACAATTAATCTATGAACACTACCCTGAAGAAAGCTGTTCAGAGAAAAAAATAAAAACGCTCCTTCATACCAGGCATTGGGATAAAACCCTGGGCTAGTCGATGAACGTTTACCCGCTTTGTATAAACGAGGCTGGATTTACAGAGAGCAAGATACATCAGAATAATTAAGAATAGAGTTATGGTTTAAGGCTTAACAAAGTTTTCGAATATAAAAAGTAGAATGTAATGGATTACATAATACATAGATTACAGTGCAATTACCCATTCGTATCAGGTTCGAATCCAAATCCTTCTGTAAGCAAATGTTGTAAAGAAAGAACAAAATAAATCATTGATGCGCTACCGGAACAACCGGAGGTATTGCATGAGTCCAAAGAACGTTTTTCAAATGTTCCTCGTCTAACAGAACACTGTAGGTTCCAGAAGTTTCCTCCGAGATCAGCTTAAACACGTAAACTTCTGCCAAACAAATGAAGCTACATCGGATTTTCAGTTTCTTTAGCTCCTGCATCACAAAAAAAGAAATGACATGTCTGAAATCTCATAAATTTGTACCTTTAAAGTAATCATGATATCATCGGGGTCACATGTTGATAAACTAGAGCAAATTATCAGCATTTCTCGACTGCTGTGTGACGGCTTATGCCTGAAAATAGTATAGCTTACCAGTTTTTCTCAAGAACTTCATAGCAAAAAAACGGATTTATATATAGCCACATTCAGAGTAACTGAAAAACGTTTAACCGCAGTGTGTCGGTAGATTTCAACTACATTCGACACATGAAAAACTTATAGGTAATTCACAACAGGAGATTCACTCATCTCATTTCTGAAACAGCTGAAGGAATATGGCTGGATGATATAAAGCTGGGGAGAAGATAAATACCCGACAAAAATCGTGACTTTCAAGCCCACCATAGAGTCACTCAGTGTGCTCCATAGCTTAATGGAATGCATTCGAGGAAAGTGAGCAGGTTTAGGGCAAGAACACCATTCTCGAATAATGGCAGGTAGGATGAGCAAAGAACGAACCGAAGCATGAATTAGTCAGGCGAACGCAATATCGCGGGAGCTAAGTTCGTCAGAAGTTAAGAAACAGCGGAAAGCAAGGTGTAGCCCTTCGATTTCAGAGGTCTACCCTTAACAACGGCTACGAGAGTTAGAAATTGACCGAAAGAGGCGATCACGGATACAGGAGGCAGAGATGTGTGTTCTTAGAGAAAGTGTAATCTAAAATATCGTAGTTTTAAGCTACTTCGAATATAAATAGACAGAGCAAAACTGCGATGATTTGTACGGTGGCTAAGATTTTAGAGAGGACATTCCAAAAATAAACTCTCTTCGTAAAGCAATGTATCAGGCTTTAACGGGCAGACCAAAAGTTAGTCCGCTGGAGCATATTTAACTCTGATAATACTCCGCCATGAAAACAAGTTCCTAATCTCAAAAGAAGAAGCATAATAAAAAACCTTTTATTGCTCACGCAACTCGAAAGAAACAATGGACTATGAATATTAATGAATCTTACATATGGCTCAAAAGCGTAAATGCAACCTGGCTTCTGAAAAAAGGACAAGAGTCTATATTAATTCAAAAACTAATTCGATTAACGTATGATCAGCATCATCAGACATGCAGCCGCGACTAAGCTAAAGAAGTATTCAAGAAACACGATAATGGAGAAATATCTAAAGACTGTTTTAGCATGAATTAGACAGCTGCTCACTTCCCTGACTTGTGCTGCCATTCACATCCGCAACTTTTTTCGTTTGAATATCAGCTCATGATGACGTAGAGCCTTCAGCTCACATCTGACATCCTTGCTCATAAGGTACTTTGGTTAGAAGAATAGCAAAATGCTCATCGAAACCTCTGCCTCAGCTCTCACTTTTCACCTCTCTGTTATATAGCAACACGGTTAGATAGAATAGAAAACTGTCTAAATACTAGACTGTCTATGCTGTGGGCAACAACTGGAATTTCCGTCTTCCATGCAAATTGCTGTTTTATACCTGAAACTCATAGTAACTGATACGCGCAGATATTCCACAACAGCTGAAGCTTTTCATATCGTAAGATAGCGTCATAACAGAGTTAGTCATATATACAAGAGGGAATTCTACACATCGCAATTTTTTCTTTTCCTCGTCTCGCTTAAGCACCAGGAAATTTTTACGTGCTTCAAAATGATGATTTATGACAAGGCTTCAGGCGAAGACAAATCGTTTGCACAGTTTCACGAACAAACAGCGCTCAGAATTTAGTAGGAAAACTAGATAAGACAAGAGAGTTGCGCAAATAACAACTGAAAAGCTAAGAAGCAAAACTAAAACAAACTATTATTGGAAAGAACAACTTGAGACGGACATACTTTAGCGTCTGCAAAGCAACCCTGAGTGCATTTTGTAAAGAAAATTCGCCATCACAGCCTGCCTCTCGCACTGCATTCAGCCCGTCTTTAAGCTTCTGAATGTTTCCTAAACGTTAAAAGATAAATGCCTTACAGATAACAAAAAGAACATCTTGAGTGTATATGAGAAATAAATAAAAAACATTTTAAATCAGCTGAACAACAAGGAATTCCAAGCAAATTTACATAGATATATCATGTATAACTTGATGCTTTCAGTGGCCGTAAGAATATTCAGTCAGATAACTAATGGTTGATTTATTAACTTTCGCAATTAGCCACTATCAACAAAATAACGAAAAATTAATTCTAGAATTAAAGAAACAACATCAATACGCAATAACATCTCTGGCTACTTATCAAATATTAAGAGATAAAGTATCTAGATTTTGCCTGATTAAAGGTTGATGCATTAAGAAAAGAAAGTAAAGAATTCAATGAAGAAATAAAATGGAGATATTACATTAGTACCACGTCTATACGCAGTAACATAGTAAATTGCTGGATCACATTAGAAACCAAATGACAGTTTTAGACAGTGGAAACAAATATTCAGATTGACCGAGTCAGGTCAAAAACATATGGATGAAACAGCAGAAAGCATATAAAAACGCTTTAACATCAAGAAATACAACTGTTTACCAAAAATGTTAACGTTGTCATCGTCATCTGAGGTATCATGGTCAAAGACAGAGACCCAAATTAATAATGCCTGATGCTTTGACGTATCATAATGATTTGGTCGATGTTGACTGATAAGGCAAGGTTCCTAGTCGCAGGGAAGTCTGCCTCTAGCAGTTGTTTTAGGGTGGGATGTTGGCCTCTGACGCATCTGCTACTAATTATTTGCTTATCAAAGTAGAATGGTTTTGGATAGGCATCCATTCTCACTCCGGGTGGTTCCAACAAACATGACAGATGCCAGTCCTTGATTTCTTCACACTACTTCTCAAACCGGTCATCTCCAAGATCTTTTAATTCTTCATTCGACGGAACCATCGTACTTTCAGAATATTCCGCAGACATCGCCACTGAAAAGTTAAAACAGCTTTTCAAGGCGCTTTAAAAAACTGATATTTCAAGGATGCACATTAGGTTTGAGAAGACGGCGGCTTTACAGTATGGTGATCTTTGTTTCTGTCTGGATAAATCGTTCTTGCGCACTAAAAAATTCGTTCGAAGTTCACAGATGCCAGCCATAAGCGCCGCTCTACTTCCATATCGAAGCTTCCATCTACTGCCAGCACAGAGCCCAAGAACTTGTAATTTTGAACCTCCTCGACAATTATTCCGATCCATTCAATCCTTGGGTAGTTAGTCGAGTCGGGTGAACGGTTTTCGTCTTGCTGGGTTAAATTCTAGGCAAACCGTCAAGTCCACATCGCACAGTCTTCGGTCATTGTCAATAAGCCAGTAGTGGAGTAGTTCAGCAGTACAATGTCGTCAGTGTAATCGGGATCCGTTATTAGTACTGTTGGGTGCCCTTTGGCTAAGTCGTCGTCTGATAGAAAATCCCTCGGTGTTGTCGAGGACGACGCTCCTCCGCATCACATAATCCACCACCTTGTTAAATAAGAAAGGTGAAAGCACCCCTGCCTGGTGCATTTCACTGTTGATGTTAAACCAGTTTGGCAACGACTCTTCTGCTCCGATGGCACCTTTAGTACCAATAGTCCTTTAAGCAGACCAATGATATTCTATGGTGCTCCGATGTCGCAGTATGCTTCACAAGGACTGACGTGCACCGAGTAGAAAGATGATCAGAAGCCGAGGATCAAGAATAAAGCGTTACCGATAGTCCAATCAATATCTCGAAGAGATTCAGCATAAAGTTTTTAATTTTGCTGACCGCAGTCTTCAGCACTGCTTGAGAGAAATGTCTTTTTTCAAAAAAATCACGCGGGTTTGTGGATATAACGATGAGTGAACAGCGAAAACGAAATAACTTTTTTTATAAGATAAATGCATAAAATACTATACACAAGAATAGTGTT